AATTTTTATAATAATCGAACAATGATATGGGAAATCAAACACGGAAAATCTATTGTAAAATAAAACGCACGTGGAATATGGTTGTTTTTAGAAGACTTTGTATTCGATGATGAATAGACGAAAGAAAGAAAGAAACATAGGTGTTAAAGAAATTTAATATGCAAACGCAATATGCGCATGTATTGACATATCATCACTATCATAGGTATGTTAAATAATAATAAATCGCAAGACTGGTGTAAATTTTGCAGTATGATTTTTCACTATTTAATCTCGCGGGTGTTGTAACGAATATATAGCAGAAATTATAAATATATGTATATATATATAATATGTAACTAACATGTGTGTCGTTTTATACTGTATATATAGGCAACCGGTAGTCGCACAAAGCCGCATCGGAGTGCCAGACCACGGTTATGGTATCGACGAGCACCATGATCACCATCATGAACACCATCACGAGCCACTGAAAGGCTACTGGAAGAAGAAACTCATCTGGAAGCCTGACTGGGTTAAAACATGGAAACCAGGCAAGAAACAGATCTGGAAGCCTTCATGGAAGAAAATCTACAAGCCAATTTGGGTACCAACAAAGAAACAGGGTTGGAAAGAAGTGCATGTACCGGTCTGGAAAAAAATATACAAGCCAATATGGGTGCCAATCAAAGTGCCAGCGTGGAAAGAAATACAAGTACCAGACTGGAAGAAGATATACAAGCCAGTGTGGGTATCCATCGACGTACCAGCCTGGAAGGAAATAAAGGTGCCAGACTGGAAGAAGATCTATAAGCCAGTGTGGAAGCACATCGAAGTACCMGCGTGGAAGGAAGAACAGGTGCCGGACTGGCATAARATACACGTACCTGAGTTGGTCAAGGCATACGTACCCGGATCTAAGCACTTGGGCAAGGACTACCACGGATGGGAGTACGAAGCGCACGACCTGTGGAAGAAGAAAGTCGTATGGAAGGTCCACTGGAAGAAAGTATGGAAAACAGTGAAGAAGCAAATCTGGGTGCCATCCAAGAAACTCGAATGGAAGGAAGACTGGGTGCAAGTGTGGAAGCCCGCGAAGAAACAGATCTGGGTCAAGGACAAGAAGTTGGAGTGGAAGGAAGACTGGAAGCAGATCTGGCGCACCGAAAAGAAACAGATCTGGGTTCAAGACAAGAAGCTCGAATGGAAGGAAGATTGGAAACAAGAATGGAAAACAGAAAAGCAAGAGATCTGGATTCCAGACAAAAAATTGGAATGGAAAGAAGATTGGAAACAGATTTGGATACCCGACTGGAAAGAAATTTGGCTGCCAGCGTGGAAGAAAATCTGGAAGCCCGTGTGGATATCCGAATGGTTCCCAATAGAGGAACACCATCACCACCACGAGGAGCACCATGATTCTCATGGTCATGATGGGTACAAGAAAAAATGAAGACTGAATTGTTTCGAATAATCGCATCATATATTACCCATGTTGTGTACATATAAATACTTTGTAAATATTGTTATTTTTATATATTAAGTTGTTAAAGTGTTTTAWACTTCTTATCATTAGAATTATAATAAATGTAAACCAATATTGGTTTTCATTTATCATGTTACTATAATGTGTACCTATACACAAACATTATCCTTCATCTTACCATTAAAAAACACTATTTTTTTAAACCCTTACTAGTGTATTAAGCCATATAAAATCAAAATAATTGTTTTCGTAATTAATATTTTGTATCGTCATTAATACTGTAAAAACATAGCTACATTTTTAGAAATAATAAATTGATATGAGCAGTATTCAATTTTAATTTTTTTTTTATTTCCCAAACTACCTACCTAAATTACCTGAGTAGCTGAGTCAATGTATCTATTTTCAATTATTACAGAATTAGATATTAATAAAAAAAATTGGTTTACAACTTAATTGTTCATATTAAAAAGTTGTACCTTCCTGTTRTTAAATTACTTAAATTAAATAGTATATGCAATTATTTTAATAATTGATTATAGTGCTTTAAAAATAGTAATATATAATAACAATTATTAAGACAAATATTGTTATTTTTAATGTTAACTAATAAAGCTGTGATAAATTTTGAGCACCAATAAAAATATTGAAAACATCTAGTTAGACAACTCAACCATTTTTTATAGTACGTCACCACAGCTTTTCTCTTGCCTCAATAAATTACTCTATAGGATTAGTTATTTGATTTAATTGTTAAGATTTATACATATAATTTTAAATATAATCCCAGTTAAACAATCTGTGGTGTTATTATTTACGAAAATCTTATCATTTATATTACATAGGTAGTATGAACATCCAAAATGTGTAGGTTATTATTTTTAATTTCATTCAAAAGACATTATTATAATACTAGTTGGGTCTTGGGTGATATTATTTCARAGTACATACTTGACTGAAAAATTCATCGATAAGTTATTAAATAATTAATAAGTAATGACTAATAACAAATACCGTTGAACTTTGTAATAAACTTTAAACGTGTAGCAGAATTAAAACGGTATAGAATATTAGTAACAATTGTCAGAAAAGTAATAGGTATTTTTAAATGTTTGTTGACAAATGTTTTTTTTTAATTTAAGAACAATAAGAACATAACAATTTAATTATTTTTGTTTACTTTCTATTTATATGATAGATAATGTACATAGAAATTATTAAAACTGTAAAATTACAGTTATTATTTTAAACAAAAAGTAACTATGTAGGATTACACAGTCAATAATAATTAATAGTTATTTAATCCATCCACCACTTCTACGACGTCTAAAACGCGCCCCTCCCCCCCACGACCTAATTAGTTAAACTCAACCTCCAAGTCTCTATCTGTATACGGTTATGTTTTATATAATTTTGTATTAGTTATTGTAATTATGTAATTACATTTTACTTAGTTCACTCATCTGTTTATCTGTTTACATTTATTYAATTACTAATATTTTTTATTTATATTTAACTATCAATTATCATTTTAAAATGGCCTAAAAATTATGTTCATTATATCCATAGATGTAGATAGCCATAGGCTAGGAAGTTTTATTATTAATTTAAAAAAAAAATAGTTATTTAAGTTATTTTATATGAGGTGAATCAATCTAACACAAAACACTAATTTCATTATTTTTATTTTTATATKAGTAAAATATTTTTTGGAGTATTTTATGATATATATAAATTAAATTTCGAATAATATGTTCTTTTGAATGTACCACTAATCACGTTTTCTGAGTGATCAGTACCTATACTTTAATATAAATTAAAACACTGAAATCTAAATATGTTTAGAATTATAAGAATTATTCTATTCATTACGATTTTAAAGTTTGGTTATAATTTAATGTYAMCTCAAAAATATTAAAATTATACAAATACCCAATAATATGGTGGATTACGTGGTCCACTAGCTCATATTATAAACTTAACGAATACCTYCCATGAGTGAAACTCTAAAAATTACAAATACATATACAAAGCTTACGAATAATATAACAATTATCAGGYATCACCAATTAAATGTACCTATATTAACAAGAAATATATTTATGATTTTTTTATACTTATATATAAATTTTGTAATAACTAATAAGTATTAAATAGGTATAACCATCATTATTAATTGAATTAAATCTTGTGGCAGTAWAGGCAWTGCCATTAATATATTATTATGGGCAATGTGAAAACCATAAGCTAGTTTATGTGTAAATAATTATGTCAATCATTTAAAAATGTTCCACGAATTGTAACTTATAATATACAAAATAAATCACTTACCGTAGTCGAAGTGATGGTGTTTGCAATACCTCGAATGCTCGAATTATAGTGTTGTAATGAAATGACCAGACTCAAGACATTTAGAAATGACAATAAGCTCGTAATTCATGCATGTTAAATGCATCAATATCGTTAATTAATTAAACCGACAACAGTAGATACTATTCAAACTAATCATTTTTATATTTATTAAAATTAAACACCAAGAYGTATAAACTAACAAACTGACGTAGACGGTAAAAAAAAGTACACAGAAATGTAGTCTATAAATTTGGAATGTTATGTGAAAAAAAAATAACGAAAAATGAAAATCACAAWACACTTATGTACCTAGATACTTTTTTTCAGGTAAATTTAGGTATTAACACTATTAAMGTGTGCCAACCCCACGATTAAAGATATACTTTAATCGTGGCCAACCCTACAGTAATAATTACTCTAWGCCTATRGTTAGGTTAGTTCCCGGAATTGGGGATTTCATGGAGGAAAAATAATAATTTGTACAAGCGCTTCGAAAGTTCAAAATAATTAATGACGAACGTATAAGAGCTAAGAGCACAATTAACAAATAAAAATAGTAAGTGCACATGTTTGTTAGCTACTGATTTTCATAACTTTTTGATGTATTAGTTTCCAGGGTTTCGCTCATGGAAAGCAGTACCTAATATATTGTTTTTTTAAATATTATTTTTACATTGTGTTGTAATTCGAAAACGAATAACTGTATAGATGGGYACTATTAATTGAAATTAAACAAAATATTTGTTTTGTTATTTCTATAYCTAATATATTTTATTTTTTAAATGAATTTGAGCGCGGGCGCCCTGTCCTCCCTATTTATTTTTCATTAATTTAACTCTAGTTAATTTATTACACGGTGTTTTAAACATTGAGTAGGTATCTCAAGGAGATATAACATAGAGGATCTCTAATAAACCATTTGTTAAATAACACCAGTCTTAAGGACACGCACTTATTATTTATTTATTTTAAGGTTTATGAGTATGTCATAAATGTTAATATT